GGGGGGGGGGGGGTATCGGGGTCATTGTCGAGGGACAGCGGCCCCCTGCCTGGGGCCAGATGTGCTGCAGCAGTGTATGCTTTAAATCTATATTGATACAGCCTTCCAAGATAAATAGATAAAAATGTAAATTAGCTTCATGTGATTTTTTTAAAACTGGGAATGCCGCTGTTCGTCTTTACTGCATCGAGTGTTTACGTGTTTGTGAGCGGGCAAATGAGCTTATCAATGTGCAGCTAACACACGTGTGGGGCATGTGTCTCCTTTGTGTTAAAGTGTCTAAAAGCAGAGACCTAAACTAACACATTCAACACATCTGAGCTGTTCTCTGATCAGTTTATTTAAAGTGGCCACTCAGAGATTTGCTGCACGGGAAGAGGAGGGTCATTAAGTCACAGAACAATAAGATAACGCACAAACAGCTCCCTGAGTGGTGACTCATGGCAGCCTGTTGGGTGTTGCTGCAGGTTTCCTGTCCTCTCGCTGCAGTCAGAGGCTGGAGCTTGAAGAAGTCTGAGAATGTGGATCCAACATGTTACCAGAAGAATGTTTTCCGGTGGAAGGTAAGAAGAAACTGACATACTGATGATCTGACCTAAAATAAGTCTAATATTTTAACCCCCACTTGCTCTAAGCTTAAAATCATTCTTGAATGGCTACCTACCTAAACCAGAGTGTGACAACTCTACTTTCTATTCTTTTCCAAAAAATGATATATTTAAAATGTTTATTCAAATCTGTATTTTTAAAATCCATTCCAGTCACTTGTGTGATCATCATGGAATACATTAATGACTTAAAAGCATCATCTATAATTTTATGTTGGCCAGTATAAAATGATTATTTAAATGTATATTTTAACTTTAATTTGTAGCAAGTAGTAGAAATTGTGGTACCAAGGTAGGAAGGAACCTATTTTATTTTAATAATTACATGCAGGTTGAAAAAACTGACAAAAGTTATCATTTTCATGTCACCATTATATTATATTATAAAGTTTATTCATTTAAAACAAAACAACATAAATTCAACATAGAAAAAACAAAACACAAAACAAAAAAATCAAATTAAATGAAAGGTAGCAGAAGAAGAAAAGAATCTTATGATTTCTGCCCCTTTTTCTTAAATAAATTCCATCAAAAAAATCTTCAATTTACAACGTACAAAAAAAGGAAAGAAAAAACAATAAAGGTTTACTTCCTTCTTGACTAACAATTCATGCCTTATACTCACAAATGTCTCCTACAGATTTACCTTTATCATTTTCTAAAAAATACACATCGATCTGGCTTTTTTAACGTTATCCTCCAGATTATTCCATAATTTAATTCCCTGGTCTGAGCTACTTTGTTCCTTCAAACTGGTTCTAATTTTAGGTTTGACAAACATTTCAATCCCCATCAAATTGTAACAACTTACTCTTTTAACAAAATGTAATTGGATGTTTGAAGGTAATGTATTTTTATACAGAACTGACAAAATACTATAATCAACCAAATCATAGAATTTCAATAAATTCAACTGATGGATCAATGAATTTGATGGTGAATGTAATGTTTTCTGGTAATAATTCTTATAGCCCTTTTCTGTACAATAAAAACAGGATTTGTTATTGTTTCACATGCTTTTCCCCAAACATCAACACAATAAATTAAGTGTGGAACAAATATTGCATTGTACAACATAAACAGTGCTTTATCATTAAATATGTCCTTTACTTTGTACAATACTGCAATGGATTTGGCTATTTTTGTTCTTAAATGATTTATGTGAGGTCTCCATGTCAGACCCTTGAAACTATTGTCTGAGGGCTGCATGATGTCAGTCAGTTTGTTATGAGTAGAAATATCATTACATTGGAAAAATGCTCCCCTAAATTTACTGTTGGTGCTTATCAAAATTAATTGTTATACCTGTTCATGGGTAAAGCTATTAATATTCTTATTTTTAAACATGCAGGTGAGTGTCATCATTGTTTGGCACATTAACATGTGAAAAATAAAACTAAATCAAGAATCAACAACAAAAAAAGTAAAATGCATCTCTAAAGTCATTGTGAAAAATTGTCACATTAATTGTCTTAACCACAGCAGTCAGTTAGCATGAGAGAAACATAAGTGTGTGCATCTGTAAAAAAATCTACATGAAAACAGCATAATCAATTTATGAAACACATTAAGATTATTATGATTATTGTTATTTTTATTATGTAATTTTTTTTCAATTTGCATTTATTTTCTATTTATTTTCTTCTTGTGCTTTAAGGTTTTTGTGAAGTTTACCTTAACTGATTTCACATTTTTAACCAGAAAATAGGAGGGACAGAGGAGGGACAAAAAAATTAGCATTGCAGAGCTGAGAAGCCAAAAAACTGAAAGAGCACCGTGAGACAGGAGAGGAGGAGTGAGACAGGGAAAAAATAAAAATTACAGGTATGAACGTTTCTGATTAATTTATGGAACAATCTGAATTAGTCCTGGCCTGGTGGAACTGAGATGAAGTATTTAGAATTATGTATGCCAGTATGTATTTTTATATGCAAGCAAGTTACACCACTCTATGTAATGTCATGGTTTGATGCAAACAGTGGCAGGTACTGGTCTTTCAAGAAGAGGATACTCAATTTCGGCCTACACAATAAAATGTGTCGGTTTATAAATTCTACCCCCCGTTCCTTTTCAAGAAAATGATCTGTGACCCTGTCACAGAACATCTTACATAAAACAATTCAACCTGGAAAGACTCACACACAGAAATGTGGCAGTTAAACAGATTTAGTAATTGAGAAAGTTCTTTGGCGCTCGAGCCCCAGCAGAAGACGTGAGTGCAGCGAACTACTGTGAGTTAGCAGCTAACATGCCTCTGAATGAAGTGATGGCTGCCTAAAAACAACGGCATTCTGCTCCTCCCTACCGCAGATGGTTTAAAATCCACTTTTTACATTGTCTTTCTGTGAGCTTTCTACATTTTTCATCTTTGTGAATGATAGTCAGTGTTATCATATGTTGTCATAGGGTTGGGCAGAATCATGTGGAATTATTCATCAGATAAACTTTTGCTGGTTATTATTTGGCACCACCTGCCTGGTGATGTAAGACGTGTGTGGTACCGACAGCCTCAGGAAATCATTAGGTTCTGTCGAAAACTCATTCATCTTCATCATACGAGTCATGTCTGACATATTTGTGAACAAATTGTTGTTGAAATAGGATCTAAATCCATACAATATAAACTCTCTACAGTAGTTTCCTCCGTAGACATTTTACCCCCTGCTCTCCAGTGGAGATCGCTCCGCCTTAGAAACCACGTGACTGAAACCCAGCTATTGAGGTACGTTCACACCGAACGTGTTTTGAGCTGCAGAAGCAGCCAGTTTACATGCAAAGTCTATGGTGGACGCGCCTCTAGGGGTCTTGCGGTGCGTCCGGTCCGTTTAGCATGGCGCACAAGGAATGCGGCAGAGCATTTTCGTACATGCGGTGCAGCGTAAGTAGTCGACGCTCAAGTTCAAAAACCTGATCTTTCGCTGCTCGACGTGTCTTGACAACCAATCAGAGAGACTCATATTTCCACATGAGTATTTCCTGAATGTTGCTCACTAACCAAAATAGACGGACAGGAGCTCTTTAGCTGAAATCCACCGTCTGCAGTTGGTGTTCTGGTTGGAGATATCAGCACTGATGCGGGTCAGCAGCTTGTTAAACTGACTGCAATGTTCAACTGGGCTCGGGACAAAAATTAGTCCGTCAGCTCACAGCTCCGGGAGTGGTGAAATTAACCGAACAAACTGCCTTTAAATCATCTGGGGCCTCATGCATAAAAAAATTGTGCAGCTTTCACACTAAAAGTTGACAGACAGACAAATTTATGAAAGTGCACCACACCAAAAAATTCTGATAAAACCGTGCACATGTACAGTATGTACCTGCACTCCTTTCCTTTATACATCCCAATGAACGTAGAAGTGAGCGCACGTGAGACACCTCCCCTGACACGCCTCCATTTAAATCTGTAAAATAGATGTAAATGTGTCCAGCGTRTGAGATTCTCCTCAGATTGTCCTCTCTGTGGGMTCAGAAATGATTTTTAGATGCAGGAAAATTATACATTAAATGGAGAATGAGTGAGAAAACTGTCTAAATAAGGAGTGGGTTGTCATTGTTTTATGTGACGTATTCGCACGGGATAACCAAAGCCTGAGATTTTCCTGAAATTTACAGACATCTCCCGAATGTGATGTTGAAGCTGGTTAGTTGTTGTCTATTTAGTTGAACACGGCGTTGAACGAATGTTAAAAAAAACAACAACATCAAGTTATCCACTTTTTCCGCTCTCCTTTCCTCCTGCGTTACAGCAGGCGCTGTCATCTCCACGGACGACAGACCCCATCCCCACGCACGGGTACAAGCAGTAGCCTACGGATTTTTAGCAAAAATCATGGGTTTTTGAGGCTCGTTAGACAGGTAAATGTCCAAAGGGCTTGACATATATGAACACCTTCACAGCTGGTGAGGGTGCACACGTGCCTGGCGCGAGAATCTACCCAAAGCACAGCTGCTGCGCTTCGGCCACAACTCAACTCAGCATCAGCCAGAAGGCTACAAACAGAAAAAATAATTATTCTTACCGTACAGTGAGACACCATTTGCACCCGATTTTGCTCCCTCTCTTCAGCCTTTTTTATTTCACTATTTTTTTTTATGCCGCATGTAATGTGTCGGGTTTTTCTGGCCCGGGACCAAAAAGGTTTCTAACTATGTGACAAAAATATAAAAACAGTTTACAGACTGGACTGAGGTTCTTTTGATCATTTTTAGACGGCTCTGTTTTCTTGTCTGAGGTTAAATTAGGGAGGGGTGGCGCAGAGGGTAGAGAAGCCGTGTCTGTGATCGGAAGATCGCCAGCTCGACTCCCCGAACCAACCAGCCCCACCCTGGGCCCCTGAGCAAGGCCCTCAACCCCTGAGCTGCTCCCCAGGTGCTGAAATTAACAGCCCACCGCTCCACATGTGCGTTCACATGTGCGATGGGTTAAATGCAGAGACTCAATTTCCCCTCGGGGGACAATAAGGGTCAAGTCATATTTCTGTGGATTCGGGTCAGATTTGTGACTTTGTGGGTTAAAACTGTCGACTCACCCCGGCGAGCCCAGTGGCTCCAGGCGCGGTCTCAGTCCAGTGCTTCTCGGCAGTAGAATTAGGTTAGTAACATAGACTCCCATCCAGACAGGCAGGTGTCCAGAGACGGACATCACAGAGAGACTCGGTCAGAACCATGCTTACTCCAACGACAAACAAGAACAACTGTTAACTGTGAGAACAGAAAATTAGTTCTGTGGGAGAAAAAAAAACGAGGAGAAAAACAACCTGTTTTTCTCACACTGGCGCGGCCAGCTGTGGCTGTTGTTATCAGTAAAATACCTTGGAAGTCTGAGCAGACAGACTAAACTGTCATCTTAAAATCACTTCACTGAGGTTATAACTCACATCAACCACTTTGCACAAATGTATTAATAGTATAATTAATAGTACACAATAATTAATCAATTAAACCAATTAAGAAAA